GGCTCCAGGGGGCCCCGGGTCGGTATTTAAAGGGAGGGGGCGGTGGCTTGGGGGAGGGGCAAGGCGGCGCGGGGACAGAGTCCCGGTCGGACTCGGCGACGGTCGCGGTCTCCTGGCGGGAGACGGCGGCGCGTGGAGGCGGGCCGGCTCGGCTGGGCCTCGGCTCAGTCGGGCGCGGTAGTTTTTAAAAAAAAAAAGCAATTCCGCCGAAACTAAGAAAAATCCTAGAAAAATAAATAAAAATCTAAAGATGCCAAAACGAATTTTGACCGTCTAAATAAAATATTTAGAACGAGATGAACATTTTCTTGGCCCTAAAATGCAGTTTTGAAAAATATGCAATTTTCCTAAATTCAAATAAAATAGCCAAAAACTCCGAATAAAATCTTATTTGTTTTTTTATTAAATCCTCAATATTCTTTTCATATTTTTATAATATAAATAATTGAAGATAAAATAAATAAAATCAAATGATCCTATTTTCAAAATTTGAGAAAAACTCAAATATGAAAATAACGAAATCCCCAACTCTCTCCGAGAGTCCTTGAGTTGCGTAGAATTTCTAGGATCAAACCAAAAACAATAAAATATGATATGAAATGATGATTTAGTGTATAACATTCAAATTGAAAATTTGGGATGTTACATCAATAGATTGCATACGTTGGAGTTGTAAGAACCGTCCTAAGGCATGGCATGGACAATTCCACGGCCAGAAAAAAGGGTTCCACTATAATCCTTGAAGCAGTGGCCGATCAGGAGACTTGGATTTGGCATGCTTTAGTTTTTTGAAATGCCTGGATCTTTGAATGCCATCAACGTTCTTAATCGGTCACCACTCATGAATAAGATTGCAAATGATGAAACTACATCGGTGGAGTTTGTAGCAAATGGCCATACATACAACTATGGCTACTATCTTGCGGATGGCATCTATCCAAGGTGGCAAACATTTGTGAAGACGTTGACAGCACCACAAGGTAAGAAAGATCTTGATTTCCACAATGCTTAGGCGGCGGCTAGGAAAGATGTGCAGAGAACTTTTGGGATTTTGCAAGCCCAATTTGCTATTGTGAGATGACCGGCTAGATTTTGGGATTAAAAGATCCTTTGGCACATCATGAACATTTGTGTGATCATGCGTAACATGATCATCGAGAATGAGTGTGTGCAAGATTTAGACTATTCTCAATATGAGTTGTTGGGACATCCTGTGCGAGTGCAGAGGAGGGCTGCGAGGGTGACCCGATTTATTGCCTCCTATCATGCCATTCGACGTGCCAAAACGCATGATGATTTTCAAAATGATCCAATCAAGGAGTGGTGGGCAAGGAATGCGCGACAAAACTAGTCTGATGTTGTATGTTTGAACTATTTGTTGTATTGGAAAATAAACTATTTATTTGAGTTGTAATAATAATTGAACTATTTATTGTTGATTTTTGTGTGTGTTTGATCATCTTGGTTCTATTTAAGTGAGAAATGTTGTTTGTGTTGGGCGCATGCTGTAAATTTAGCGTGCCTATTCGAGGTATAGCGCCGCTATTTTGCAGCGCCCTGCTGCGCGTAAAAAAGTCTATTTCGGCGATGTAAAAATAATTTAGCGCGCCGCACAGTTGCGCGCCTGTTGAAGATGCTCTACCAGTTTGCAAAAAAAACACTGTTTTGAGTAATCTGTTTAGGGAGCAACTAATTAACGAGCGCTCCTTCGGGAGCCTCGCAACGATCAGCGCCGCTTGGCGCGCTCTCAGCCATTCGCCACGTGTCGCGCTCAGGACGCTCCCTCCGGATTTTGTTTTTTTATTTTTCCGCACGCGTTTTCGGCTTTTTAAGCGGTTTTTTTTCTTTTTTTACGTTTTAGTTTTCCACTGGTCTACCTTAGCTTTTTGACTAAAAAATAATTTTTTTGCGCAAAAAAACACATTTTTTTGTGAGAGTCACAGTCGTGCTTTCGCGAGAGGCACGGCCGTCCCTCTTGGAAACGAAAAAAAAACGTGTTTTCTGTTTTTTTTCCTTTCGCGAGAGGCACGGCTTAGCTTCCGTGAGAGGCACGGTCGTGCTTTGGCGAGAGTCACGGCCGTGCCTCCTTGGAAACGGAAAAAACACGTTTTCTGTTTTTTTTTCGCGAGAGGCACGGTTTTGCTTCCGCGAGAGGCGCGGTTGTGCTTTCGCGAGAGGCACGGTTTTGCTTCCGCGAGAGGCACGATTGTGCTTTCGCGAGAGGCACGGGCGTGCCATTTTCGGAAAGGAAAAAAACATGGTTTTTTTCTTTCGCGAGAGGCACGGTTTTGCTTCTGCGAGAGGCACGGTTGTGATTTCGTCAGAGGCACGGGCGTGCCTCTTTCGGAAAGGGAAAAAAACCCGTGTTCCCAGTTCGGTTTTTTCGTCCGTTTTTTTGGTGAAAAAAAGTTCATCAAAACCTATCAACATGGGATCTAGTTTTGAAGATCTCGACGCGAGGAATCCAACGGCGAAAGCGGTTCGAGATTTGGACGTACGGTTTAAGAGATAAAATGTTTTGAATAAACGGATCTACGAAAAAAGGGAAAACTCACTGGTTGCGACAAGTGGCGCACATACAGCGCGCTACTTGTCGCAACCTGGGGAAGTTGGAGTGATCTCCACAAGGACTACTCCTTAACTGGTGATTTCGATCTGTTTGCCTAAAGCACTAGAATAACAAATGAACATGTTTTGACATGAAAACTAACAATGTGGCCCATCCAACAGGGCCATGTGGCGTGGGATAATGGCTAGCCGAGAGCCCGAGATAGATGTTAGAGGCCACAGGATTGTCGGGAGCAACTAATTAACGAGCGCTCCTTCGGGAGCCTCGCAACAATCAGCGCCACTTGGCGCACTCTCAGCCATTTGCCACGTGTCGCGCTTTGGGCGCTCCCTCCGGATTTTATTTTTTTATTTTTCGCACACGTTTTCAGCTTTTTAAATGTTTTTTTGGTTTTTTTGACGTTTTGGTTTTCCACCGGTCTTCCCTAGCTTTTCGACCAAAAAATAATTTCAAAAAAAATAATTTTTTCGCGCAAAAAAACACATTTTTTTGCGAGAGTCACGGTTTTATTTTCGCGAGAGGCACGGTTGTGCTTTCGCGAGAGGCACGGCCGTGCCTCTTGGAAATGGAAAAAACGTGTTTTCTGTTTTTTCCTTTCGTGAGAGGCACGATTTTGCTTCCGCGAGAGGCACGGTTGTGCTTTCGCGAGAGTCACGGTCGTGCCTCCTCGGAAACAAAAAAAACACGTCTGTTTTTTTTCTTTCGCGAGAGGCATGGTTTTGCTTCCGCGAGAGGCACGGTTGTGCTTTCGCGAGAGGCACGGTTGTGCCTCTTTCAGAAAGAGAAAAAAAAATGTGTTTTCTATTTATTTTTCTTCCGCGAGAGGCACGGTTGTGATTTCGTCAGAGGCACAGGCGTGCCTCTTTCGAAAAGGAAAAAAACCCGTGTTCCCGGTTCGTTTTTTTCGTCCGTTTTTTCGTTCGGTTTTTTCGTGAAAAAAAGTTTGTCAAAACCTATCAGCATGGGATCTAGTTTTGAAGATCTCAACGCGAGGAATCCAACGGCGAAAGCGGTTCGAGATTTGGACGCATGGTTTAAAAGATAAAACGTTTTGAATAAACAGATCGACGAAAAAAAAGGAAAACTCCCAGGTTGCGACAAGTGGTGCACATACAACGCGCCACTTGTCGCAACCTGGAGAAGTTGAGTGATCTCCGCAAGGAGTACTCCTTAACTAGTGATTTCGACGGTTGTCACATGAAGAAAAAAAGAATAAAAAAATACCCACGTGGCATGGTTGTTGCACGCCATTGGCTCCGTCCAATGCGCCTCCCATGCACAAGACGAGCCACTGGCCATCGCAACGCCCTGCTGGTCGGCGACGAGGCAACGATCCAACGCGAGCCGGAGACGGTGCAAGGTAGCTAGGACATGCAAAGCTCGCGGGCATGGCAGGAGCAAAGCAAGGCAACGACGACGCGCGGGATCAACCAACGGAGCACTGACTCGCGAGGAGGATTGCTAGAGATCGTACGGCTTGACGGGGTCAACTCAGAGGATGGCGCAGGTGCTTGGAGAGGATGGTGCAGGTGCACGGCGTGCAAGTGCATGCAGAGGACCGCTAGAGATCGTGCGGCTCGACGGGGTCAACTCCAGCGGCTCGGTCACGCATGGCGGCTCAGAGCACACGGATGCATGCACGGGAATGTATCCGGTGCACCCGTACTTGGGGTGCTACCGATGCACCGGATGCCTAAAATATTTTCAAAAATCTAAAAAAATTCTAGCATGTTAACACAACATCAATGAATGATGTCACAAAGTTTCATACAAAAAAATAAATACCTTTTGAGATAAAAAACGAAAAAATTGACATCAGTGTGATAATGGGTCGAATCTAAAGCCCAAGTTATGTTATATACTATTTAGTGCTGAATTTGTCATTTTTGTTTTTCATGTAATGCTTCGATTTTTGACTTAAAATTTTACGACAACCTACATTGATATTGTGTGAGTGTGCTAATTTTTTTTCAGATTTTTTTGAACATTTTAAAATCACAATGTGAGATCGGTGCACCGGTAGCACCACAAGCTCCGGTGCACCAGATATTTTCCCGTGCATGCACAGGATGGTGCAGGTGCACGGTGTGCCGGTGGCCTTCGTTAGTGTGCATAAGGTGTTCGATGGAATAAACAAGAGAAAAAGAGTATATAGACGGTGACATGTGATCCCTAGATCAACACAACGGTCGATTCTAATGATGTGAATATTAGTTGCCACATCATCAGTTATAATGGGCTCTACCTATCATTTTTCATGTCAAGACGCGTTTAATTGAGCATTCAGTGCTTTCGGTAAACAAATTACTTAAGACTAGCGCCTTTTGCAAACTGTTAGAAAAACGATGGTTTTCTGATTTGGCGGGGGAATTGTGGTAGTTTTTGACAATTTACTCGTTAAAAAATCTGACTTTTTTTGAAGGAATAATTGTTAAGAGGTACCGTACGTTTTTTTTAGTATCTGTACGTTTTTGTTTGTGTTCGTATTTGAACCAACTATCTACAGACTACAGTACATTGTATCCATGACGGCCACGGTTTCCTCTCCACCGTCCAGCGCAGAGTCCTTCGTTGCCCCGGGTGCTTTCTGAAACGAACTTCCTCTCCCGAGTACACACCCCGGGTGCTCCAGCCCGACCCAACGCGGCACTAAAATCTCTCTCTACCACCGCCTTTCCGTTCCCGTTCCCGTTGCCGTCCTCGAGTCCCACCTCATCGCGACCTCGAGTGCCTGCTAGCAGTCTCCGCCACTCCGTCCGCAGCCGCCGCCGCGGAGCCGGGAGGCGAGGGTCAAGGCCGATGTGGGGGCTGTCGGCGGGGACGCTGCTGAAGCCGGTGTGCAGGTGGCTGCTGAAGCGGCTCGGGGACCTCACCCTGGGCGACCTCGACCTCGACCAGTTGGACCTCCAGCTCACCCGCGGCACGCTCCAACTCTCCGACCTCGCGCTCAACGCCGACTTCATCAACGCCAAGGTGCGCATCGCATGGGTTTAGTTAGGGCTTTGCCGCGCACGTGTTCGATTAGACGCCCCTTCCTTTGATTGGTGAATGAATTCGGCTTTATGTTGTTCTGATTGCAATTGGGCGTTGGTGTGATCGGCTAGGCTCGATCTTTTTGTTGTTGGAATGTCGGGCTAGGCTATGGGGATTTCAGTGCTAGGGTGAAGAATTGGCTACAAGTCTACGATGTTTTGTGACTTTGTAATAAACGTTGTAATAATTAGGCTGCAATATTTGCATATACTATGATGCAGAGGCCTGGGGTAATAAAATCTTCCATTGTCTAAAAAAGAGTGTTAGTTCTGGGAGTCGGACTAACTTGAAATATGTCGCATTTGCTCTGACCGAGCTGCATTCCGTGGTGTTTAATTTTGTCCTTCAAACCTGACTTGCTGTGGCACTTAATACCGGACATACTCTATCTTATGCGTGTGCTCTTGCCCCAGTGACAAACTTGCATTCTCCACCTGCTGTAGTTCACAAGCATAACACCACTGCCTATATGCTACACATTTGATCACTCGTACTTGTTGAATTCTAAGTTACGCTGCCAACTTATAGTCTGTCAGATTTTAGCTGTTAATTTTCTGTTTACACTCTTCTCCTTACATATCTTGTGGCTAACTTTATTTTCTATTCAGCTATCAGGATCTCCTATCACAGTTAAAGAAGGATCTATAAAATCCCTGCTAGTTAAATTACCTTTACAGTTAAGGAGTTGGAAGATTGAGATCGTAGTGGAAGGGTTGGAGTTTGTACTTGCACCATCTGTTGCTATTGAAGCCTCACCTGTAGATACCGAGTGCTCTGTTTCTGCTGGTAATAGTGATACAGAGGCGAGATTGGCTGAGACCAAGAGGAATGAACCTGATAGTAATCCCTGCTCTACTTCTGCATCTCGAGATGTGGATGATGGTGTGAAGAGAATAGCCAACGCCATCAAGCACTTTCTTACAAGATTTAATATCAAGTTGAAAAATACGTATGTAGTATTTGATCCTCAAAGCATTTTGGATAAAAAGGCCTTGGAATTTAATTGGTCGCTAGTTTTCCGAACTAAAGAGATACAGTGTGGAACTAATCTTTCAACAGACGGTCCGGTCAAATTGAATAACTTGGTAACATTCCAAGAGGCGGTCATTGAGTTTTTGAAGATGGATGATGTTGATGCAAATCTTCAGAACGATCTGGATAGAGGAACAGCTGACATTTCATCATATCATAGTACTACTGCGGTCTTGACAGGTCCCATTGGTGGATTCTCAGGAACATTGAACCTAAGCATCCCATGGAATAGTGGATGCTTAAACTTTCAAAAAGTTGATGCAGACATATCTGTTGATTCATTAGAATTGCAGTTACAGATGAGCAGTATCCAATGGTTCATGAATGTATATGATTCTCTTTGTAGGAACTCGGCAGATGAACATAATTGTGTACATAGTACTGCAGATATGTCTATGAACGCCTCCAGATCTTCCTTATGTGCATCCACATCAAGCTCTTCGAAATCAGGTTCAGCCTCTGTGATAGCTAGCGGGGAAGGTTTGTCACAGAGAGCATTTTCTCGAAGCAGGCAGGACAATTTTCAGGATGATTTCCTCAACAAGGCACATGTGATTCAAGACTGGATTCCGGATCTTGTTGTCCACAGTGACCAAGGTGAATTTGATTCAGATTGTGACGAAAGGTTTGTTTCTTTGTTTAATGTTTCTTCAAAGGTTTTTGTCAGTCGTTTTACCTATGTATCTGTCACCTTCTTATTTGCGTCAGGTCACATTATTAATCTCTTATAAACATTTCTCTAGTATATTTTTGACATACCTGTTATATCATTGCAGAACAGATAAAAATATGCTGTTTCTATGTCACATTGCTTTTATTTCTATCATTCTTCATAAACTTTGTAACTGAACTGCATGCTGGTTTCTGATAATAGAAATTAGAAGGGCTGCTCGCTTTGTTCTCAAACATTTTTTTAAACTGTTTAATCAAATGGTTTTACGAATTATTGGTCCCTAGTTTCTCACTGTGTTGTGCATGCATTGGGGGTTTATGGCCAGTTTCTTCTTTCACTGCTTTTCTTTGAGTGGCCATTGCCTTGTGTACTTGTTGCTCTTGCCCTCTAGCGATAGTTCTGTTACATTATATGTAGATTGCACTAGCCCTTTCCATCAGTTCGGACTTTTGGTTGCGTTGGCTAGTGCATGAAGCTTAATAAGTTCTTCAACTGTCTCTGAAATGTCTTGTCTTATGAACATCCCAACTTACCGAGCAGCATAGGGCATGAGTTGTTAGAATGTTTATCTGCATCTTTAGTATGCAGCCTGGGATTTAATGGCCAAATACACCAATCTTATTTGAATTTATTGTAAGTTTTCCATGTTTTTGTCTTTGTTGAAGTTCTTGTAAGAATTTATCTCTTGTTGGTTTGTTTGCTTTTAGATTTCTTAAGTGAAGCAGGTCACTTGAGAAAAAAATATATATTTACACGGGCCTAATTCTATTACTAACTTATTGTTCTCCATCTTTGACAGCATCAGTCAGTTCTTTGAATGCTTTGAGGAATTGAGGAGCTCTCATACCAATTTAGGAAATAGTGGCATATGGGACTGGACGTGTTCGGTATTCAACGCAATTACTTTTGCATCCGCATTAGCTTCTGGATCCGATCAAGTCCCTAAAGGTATCCGTTTGCACTTTGTTGTACATCTTTTCAGTTTTCTGTTGGTTAGACATATTATCCACTCTACCTGCATGAAGCATGAAATACTTACATTGTTATCAATCTATGCTCTCTATTCTACTTAGTTATCAATTAGTGAACTCTTTCTTGCGGATGGAGTTATCTACTAGTATTAACTTTGCTCCTTCAGCTACCATTTGCTTTTACTCTTGATTTTATTGAATACCATCCATATTTAGTTGGATTGTGTTACACACTTCCAAGAAAAAAAATATTATGCCTTTACTTTTTTGGTGAGAATAAGAAATATTATACCTGCTAGCATCTGAATTGATATGATGATGGGACATATTGCTGACCCCTCAGTAATATGATGGTGCTGTTTCGTAACAGTATTTTTTAATTAACTGGGACATCTGGTTTGTTAGTTTTGTCTCTGCCCTACTAACTGGAAACCAAAATTTGAGCAAGTACCAAACTGAACAAACTTTAATATTGGAATTTGCCGAAAACCCAACTACTCTCAGATCTCGAGTTTATGCTGGCTTATGATCAACAGCAGACCTGTTAGACAACTCTAAGATCACCTCCTTCTGATATCCATACTTGTGGTTCATGAATAAGAAACAGCTTCCTTAAATTCTCTTTCCACGGTGGCTAATGTTGCACTTTCTGGTGTTAAACAAAGGGCGAGTGCTAAGCGCCGGCGCACCAGCCCAAATTTGGGCCGGTCGTACCAGCACCGTATGATAAAATAACCAAGAGCCGTACGATTTTCTTCTTCCTTCCCTCGGACGTCTTCTTTATTTAGAAAAAGTTCCCAACGAGCCGTCATGGATGACGACGCGCCAGCCTCAGAGCACTTCCCCGCGCCTCTCCCCTGTCGCGGCCCTCGCCGCCGGTCGCCGCCGTTGACTCATGCGTCTCTCGCCGGCAACGTGAGCACGCGGTTGCAGCTCCCGTGGCGACGGTTGCAGCTCCCCGTGGCGACGGTTGCAGCTCTGTGGCCACCGCTCGCCGGCTCGCTGGGACCGCTCACCGGCTGGCCGTCGCCGCTCGCCGGGCCCGCTGCGTACTGGATGGTTGCAACAAAAATCAGCTCTGCTTTAGGCAGTTCCAGCAAAATCAAATGCTCGTTGTAGCAAAAATCAAACGATGGTTCCAGCAAAAAACACAATGGCAACCAAAAATCAAAAAAGTGCCTCGCCGCCGCACCTCATGAAGAAAATTGGTTCCAGCAAAAAACTCTCTAGGTCCCATCGCCTTTGAAGCAAAAATCGCCGGTAGCAGCTTTTCGCGTTGCCGGTTCCAGCCAGAAACTGACGATGCAGCTCCCATCCACCCGATTGTAGCAAAAAAATGCATTGGATCCAGCAAAACAAGAAAACGGTGGTAGCAAAACTTGTGAAATAAAAACTGGAAAATTGTGCCTAGCAAAAGTGGAAAACACCGATGTAGCAAAAAATCAAGCTCGTTCCAGCAAACCAGAAAGTCAGTGGTAGCAAACTTGCAAATTTGGCGGTGGTTCCAGCAAAACCAAACATCTTTGGTAGCAAAAAAGAGTATTGGCTCCAGCAAAACCAAACACCTCTGGTAGCACCTGGCATCGCTGGTTCCAGCATCCTCGATGCGACGTCACAAGCCGCTGGCCCCGTTGCAACTCTTTCGTCGCCCGGTTGCAGCGCGCCGAGATAGAGGTTCCAACTTCCGCCGGCGCAGGTTGCGGCGTGGTGGGGAGTTTTGGGTGCGGTGGCGCTGGCCCGCCGACGCTTGTAGGGGATTCCGGTCGGCGTGGCTGATGAACAGAGTTAGGAGACAGGGCGAGATGAGAAATCGAGAGGGCTCGATTCAAGAATGAGGAGCAGCGCATGGAAGCATGGGAGCGGGAGGAAGCAGAGTTGATTTCTCCGGCGGCTTGATTTGGCCGCTCGCTGGAGGTAGGGGATGAGAAACGGGGTGAATGAGTGGACGAGAAGTGTCTGTGCTGGATAAGGACGAGAGGAACGAGCGGTTGTGGGCCAGGTGGGCTGGGCTATCGTGGTCACGTGGGCAACCAGGCACCACTTTTGTTCAAGTGGAGTCGTGCGAGTCGCACGCGACTGGCCGAGCGTTCGGCCGGCGCGCCGACGGAAAGCGTTTCCCTAAACAAAGTGGCTGTAGTGCTTTACTTTTTGTCCATTTAACTTTTATATATGTATATCATGGCATTACTTATTTTAGTCTTTTTTTCCTAACAGAAACACTGATTGAGAAAACCTTACGGGCTTCCATTGCTCAGATAGGCATTATTCTTTTGTTCAGTGATGAAATGGATACTGGCAGTTCCAGTATTCCTCCGAGTCTCGTCAAAGATATGAGAAGTTCGGAAATGTTTTCAAGCTGCCTTTCTCCTGCTCATTTTGAGCGATTGATGATTTCTCCTGCTACTGCTTCCAGTTTAAGTATGCATCATCTTGAATACAAGTGTCATAACATCCATCTTGACCTTGAGGTATGGTCTGTCACCAACAGCATTGTTCTTAGTTAATACATCATTTGAAGTGTCATGAAGCTTGATACTAAATATTTTTCTTCATATCTGCAGACATATCCGAAAAACTTGAGGTTGAAAGCATCGATTGGCCACATGAGGGTCGATGAATACTACAGCACTGAAAAGCATGATTCAGATCACACACCCGTTAGTGCTCCTTTCTTAAATAGTGATTATTGCCATGAAGTTCAAGCTGCTCTCCCTTCATTCCCGTTTGCTGCTCAAGATTACTGGGTGGAGTCATCTGGATACTGTTCGAACAATTCAAGTGAACTAGCTAAGGTTGAATTGCTTAAAACATTTGGTGATTCCACATTCCATTATGATGTTAGTAGCACAGATCGAGGTGGCAACTCAGTAAGTTCAACTTCACTGTCAATCTGTTTGGCTCCATTAGTTTGGTGGGTGCATTTCCATACAGTACAGATGCTACTGAATTTTATCAGTAAAATTGAGTCTGATGTGGTGCGCGGACAGCATAAACTCCATATGCGAGGTGATACAGAAAACAGTAAGTTGACTACCAAAACTAATATTTCACCAAGTGGGAGTCTAAAGGTTCAGATGGCTCTCTCACCTTCAAGAATCATCATTTGCTTTCCTACTGAGTCCCCATGGGATTTAAGCCGCCCATCCATCCTGGATACATTCCTTGTCATTGACCGCACATCATCTCTGGACTCAGGGGAAGCTTCGTCTCCATTCGGAAAGGAAAGGCCTAATGATGCTCATTCCGGCATACCATCTACCTCACTCCATTTGGCTGCTGGGAACTTCGACATGTATTTGCTTAGACCGATGAGCTATGAATTGGATGACAGAAGCCATTCTTTGAGTAGGCAAACTTCTTTTGCTCTGAAGATTATCTCAGTCACTAGTTACAACTGTGGCGACTCTAGCATTACAATGATCTGGAGAAAATACCCTGTAACTGGCCCTGAGATGGTTAGTAAAGCTTGGAGTTTGCCAAACCTTCATGACCAAAAAATTACTCAGAGAGAAAGGGGCAATTTTGTTGGTGCCTCTTATACAACCTCACAGGATCTCGAGAAGTCGAGTTATAGTATACGCCAGGAGCTCCTTCAGAGCACCCAGTGCTTTCTGCATATTAAACTTTCTTCAGTTTCAGTTCATCTCAATAAGAAGGATTGTGGATTACTGAATCAGCTATTAGATTGCATTCTCAGCGGGCTGTCTGATGGTGCAACGAGCAGCTCTGAAAGTGGAAGGGACAAATCTATGCCTATCAATGATGTTGCCATCCAATCAGCTATCACTTTTGAATGCAGCTTTTTGGATATTTGTACTGAATTAAATGAAACTGTGGTAGTTGGTCCTTTGCTGCAGACAGAACTAGAAGGTTCCTGGAATTGTTTTAAGCTGTCCATTTCAAAAATTTCCCTGTGCTCTTTTTCTAATGTAGGCGGAATCAATAATGCCAGTTTTCTTTGGGTGAATCATGGTGAAGGTGAGCTTTGGGGTTCTATTACTGGTACAAATGATAAAGCCTATGCCGAAAGCAAAGTTTTTCTCCTAGTTGTCTGTAAGGACTCTGCTAACATGCGAGGTGATGGCGAAGGAAACAATGCACTATATTTTGGAACTTCTGGCTGTTCTGTGACCCACATCAGGAACCCAAATCTACAAGAGAACTATACTTCTGTCAATTTTCGTTCTGGGACAATTGTGGCACCTGGTGGACGCATGGATTGGATCAGTGCAATGTGCCTGCTGTTTAATGCAGGTTCACACGGAACTGAACAGTCCAATAACAGCAGAACAGAGGATAATTCATGTCCTGGTGACCGGTCATCTTTTTTTCTTGAGTTGGTTGATGTTGCTGTGAGCTATGAATCTCATGTAAAAAATTCCACCTTCAGCGCTGAAGCTACTGATTGCAAGTCTTTCTCATGCATTTTAGCCGCATCATCATTTAAACTCCACAGTATATCTGCACCAGACTCTGCAGCTACAGATTTTGATATCCAGCTGCGAGATCTCGGGCTTTTCATCTGTGAATCATTTGGTTCCAAAAATGCCACTTGCGGCTATGGTGTTGATTATCTTCGTAAAATGGGTTACACTAAGATTGCCCGTGACACGTTCATTGAAGCTGCTCTAAGAATTGACACTTCCTTTTGGAAGCTTGAAATATCAGATTCACAATTTGATATTGGTACATGTCGTGATACAACACATGGTCTTATTTGCTTGTGTTCCCAACTCCAGAAGCTATATGCTCCAGACATGCATGATGCTTTAGTTCATCTACAATCTAGGTGGAATAGTGTCCAGCAAGCAAACAACCATAATATGGCCAGTGACGCATCAGACAAGTCAGAGAGCAGCATTGACAACTTGGCATATTCTGGAGAGTGCTTGTCAGATGGACTACTTAATGATATAATTGAGAATGCTTTTTACACAGACCAGGACTACAAAGCCTACAATTTTTCTAGCAGAAATTGTCACAACTCACCAAGTAGCAACGGAATGGATGTTGAGTCTGAGTCGCCCACCCCTGGGGCAACTGACGTCAGTGTTCCACACATTTTGTTTGGATCATCATTAGCTACTCCAAAAATCAATACGACTGAAATACCATTGAAACAGGACTCCTGTCATGAACAAATTATTGACTCTTATTATATGCCTGACACATCATCGTCAACTCTATGTAATGTAGGATATCAATGTATATCTGGTGATGATGCTTACAAAACCATGGAATTTGAAGATGGTGGATGGTATAACAGTATTCCCTTGACAATAGTTGAGAGTCATGTTCCGGAAAGGAACAACCCACAAGGAGGGCATGTGGCCGGCCAAGAAGGGAAGCCTACTGTTTGCAGCTTGAATTATGAGGAATCTTGTTATTTGAAAGGAAAGGTTATAATTCATGATGTAAATGTCAATTGGCGAATGTATGCTGGAGATGACTGGTCATTAGCTCAGAAAGATGTAAATAACTTCTCATCCTCAAGTGGAAGGGATATGAGCTCTTCCTTAGAATTTCTTATCTCGGGGCTTGGTGTACAGTGATATGTATCCAGATGGGGGTGTTTCTGTTTCTAAGTTATCTATATCTGCACGGGACATAAATCTTTGTGATCAAAGGGTGGATGCTCCATGGAAAATGGTACGTCCTTTTGTGGCTAAAATTACGTAAAGCATCTGCTTTTATCACTGGGCTAATGGTTTTAACTCTTCTGGTCCTTCTAAAAGGTTCTTGGCTGCTACGATTCACCGGACTTGATATGGTTTACGTAAGAACTTTTTGCACTAACTAAACATGACTAATAATTCTGCATGTGTAATCTTGCGAAAAAAAAATCTGCACGTGTAGCAGAACATATTTTTACTGGTAGGCAGCAGGGTTCTTTATGTTTAGTAGGAATCACTGCGATCTGATTTTTTTCTTTCTCTGATGCCAGAAATTTGATGTCAAGCCTATTGTTCTGCACATCAACTATATCCCTCGTCAGTTTGATCCTATTGCACTAGGCAAAGGAAATTATGCAGAACTTCTCAACATCCTTCCGTTGAAGGTAAACTGTTGTTGAAAAAATACTCTAGAAGCAATCAATCTGTTGATAGGCAATCCTAATGAAGTTTCTTCTGCAGGGAATCGATTTGAAGCTTAAACATGTTTCTGCAATGGGGGTGTATGGGTGGAATAGTATTTGTGAAACAATTGGTGCAGAGTGGTTGGAGGACATATCTAAAAATCAGGTTATGATCTCCCCATGCTCATCTGTACATTTAGACATGCTTGCTGTTGCGTACGCAAACATATACTCCCTCCGTCCGAAAATACTTGTCATCAAAATGAATAAAAAGAGATGTATCTAGAAACAAAATACATCTAGATACATCCCCTTTTATCCATTTTGATGACAAATATTTCCGGACGGAGGGAGTACAAACTTAACATGGGAAAATATTATGAGAGAAATAGAGTTTGAAATATGTGCAGCTCCATATGTAGGTATACTATACACAGGTGTGCAAAATAAGGAGAAAATATATGTTAACAAAAGAACTTTTTTTTCTCTATCACTCATCTAAACACGTCATTTGTAAAAGAACTGACAATGTGTTATGTTTGTGTAGGTCCATAAATTGTTAAAAGGGCTTCCTCCTTTAAAATCAGTCAGTGCCGTTGTTTCAGGCACTAAGAAATTGATATCTTTACCCATCGAAAGTTACAAGAAAGACCGGAAGTTGGTCAAGGGAATGCAAAGAGGTAAGCTACATAGATACATTGCTTAAATATATGTTGAAGTTCATATGTGGTGTGTTTTAAATACTTGATTATATGTATCAATGATGATTCTGGCATTCTGTCCGGCAGGTGCTGTTGCCTTTATCAGAAGTGTTTCCATTGAAGCTGTAGGGCTTGGTGTCCATTTGGCAGCGGGAGCTCATGATATGCTGCTGAAGGCAGAACATGCCCTTACAGCTCTTCCACCACCTTTAGCCACGTGTGAAGCTAAAAGAAACAAAGATAACGTAAGGGCAAACCAACCCGAAAATGCGACACAAGGAATAAAGCAGGTATTCAATTCCTTTGAATTGCATGATAAAAATATCTCTTGTTCTGGAATAACATGAAAATTGACTCTTCATGAAGTTGGATTCAGGGCTTTGCTATTTTTCTGTGATTTGGAGTTTAATTTTGCATCACTTTATAAAGTCTCTTGATAAGTTAAAAATAGACCTTGAAATTGCTTCACCTGAGTCTCTGAACTGTACTAGACTGAATCCTAAAGTACACAGGTAGTGCCGTGTGTTTTAATATTAACCTGGAACTTTGTTCAGGCTTATGAAAGCTTTACTGATGGACTTGGAAGGACTGCCTCTGCTTTGATTGGGAACCCTATTAACGCGTATAATCGCGGGGCTGGTGCCAGATCAGCACTGACTACTGCAATTTGTGGAGCTCCAGCTGCTGTAGTAGCTCCAGTATCAGCAACTGCCCGTGCTGTACATTATGCACTTCTTGGTATAAGGAACAGGTGAGTTTTCACTCATTCTCAAATATCGACGAAAGCTGTGCGCATATATAGGGTTAGTGACATGTCATCACATCAGACTATTTTGTTTGGTCTCTGATCAACCCACTCTTGATTCCTTTGCTATTATCACTACAAGTCATAGGTCAGTTACCCAGTTATAGTCGCATGCCGATCATTACCCAGTTAAGATTTGAAACAGCACATAATGATCTGTATTTTGTGTCTTATTTAGCACTTCAATATTTGTATTTTTGGTAAATATACACCAATTTATTGTCAAAATAAACCCTGCAGTATATCGAGAACTGTTACTCTAGAAGCCAACTTGCATTTATGCCTGTATCTTCTGTTCATTAGTTCGGTCCAGAAAGTAACAAAGATGACAGTTCAGAGACCAATGAATAAAACAAGACAGGACCAGTGTGACATGAGTTATCTTCTGATTTCACCTTTTGCAATATTAATTATTCCTCTGGACAAATTATGTTTTAATAAGAACAGTTTGATTATATAATAACCAGGAGATCACAAGATACTCGGATCATGAGAAATGCTTATCTATCCAAGGAACTTCTAGCTTTATGGCTGTGCAGGGTCTTGCAAAGTAATTGCCTTGCTGGATTCAATATAATTAATAAAAGGGTAACTGGTTATTGTGAGATAGTGCACTAGTGAAGCCGAGGTCAATGAATTGTGAAGGATTGATATATTTCAACCATGCTGTCACCACATTTATATTCTTAATAACATACCGATATCATCTATTTGTTCACTGGATTTGTTTCCACATTAACAGCCTTGATCCTAGACGCAAGAAAGAATCTATGTACAAGTACCTGGGGCCTTCTCAACTGTAGACTTCATCGACATTCCGTCGTGTCTCTCCCTGGAAGAAGTGGTCAAGCAGCACCCCTGCTCAATCTCACCGAACGACGAGCAAACTTGTATAGGACAAGTGAATTCTGCACAGCTAGGAATCATACCCTTGAGAACCAGCATCATTTTCCTTGTTCTTGATGGAGATTATGGAGGTGTAGATTTTGTAGGAAAGATTAGATCATATACGGCGTAAGCCTTGTACAGTCTGTAAAATTAGCACACCCCACAGTTGTAATTCATGGCGCCTTTTCCACCCCTGGTGCAAGTTTTGTAAACTCCTCGCTTAGGCAATTACCTGAGAGAGGAGATAAACTCTTCCGCCTCCATTTCGTTTGTACATAGTTTGGCTCTTCCTTAGTTGTGCGGATGTAAATATGTCTCTTCTGTTTTTGACACTTCTGTAAATATCTCTTCTGTTTCTGTTGGGGCTATGGTTTTCGGCTTGCTAAAGCACTGATAATAAGTTGCCTTGCCTTTTTTTAATTGTAAATGTTAGCAGGTTTTGTGTGTCCAGACAACTTCTGTGCGGACGATGCAGAAGATGAAATGATCGCTGCTGCTTTAATCGCGTGCTAATTAAAAAAAGGCCTTGCGGACTGTAATGAACCAACGAGAGAGGGGATCGAGATCGGGGTAGGTGGGGATTTCAGAGACGAAGGAGAGGAAACTTGGGGAGGAAGAGGATACGAAGGATTAGGTGAGAGTACAGAATGTTTCCATCGCATGCCTTCTCGCTGCCACAGGCGGCCAACTTTAAACCAAGTCTCTCTCACACACACGCACCTAATGGTGGGGCCTGATCGCAGGATGCCTTGTGGCCAGGTGTGACATTCTCCCTCCCTTAAGACTGAGCTCCCTCTTGAGTACTTGCTTCGTCGTCGTCGTCCCAGATGGGTGCCGCGGGAAAACGCTGCCGAAGAACTTCGTAATCCTCCCATGTCGTGGCCGAGGGGAGCCGTCGCCCCATTGAACCTTGATCTGCACAATTGTTGCATTGCCACGCTTCATCATGCGCCGCTCCAGGAGGCGCGTGGCTGCTGTAGTCGCCACAGACAAATCAGGAACCTGCAGCAGTTCTGCGTACATCGACGTGTAATCCGGCGTGAACGGCTTCAATTGGGAGACGTGGAAGACAAGGTGCACGCGGCTGGACTCCGGAAGGTCGAGTTTGTACGCCAAGTCCGATCTTCTCGACGAAGGTGTACGGCCCGAAGAACTTGAAGGCGAGCTTGGCGCAGGGTCGGCTGACGACAGACTGCTGGACGTAGGGCTGAAGCTTCAGAACACCTTTTCCCCCACCCGAAACTAGCACTTCGTGCGGTTGCGGTTGGCCTGCTTCTTGAAGCGTCGATGGGCGCGTTCCAGCTGCGCTCGAATGTGTGCGGTGTGCGCCGCCCAGTACATGTCTTCGCCGGCGGGTGCATCGTCGGGCCACGCCGTCATCGTGCCCAGGTTGGCCTCCTGCCGTACAGTGCCTTGAATGGGGCACAATTGAGCGAGGAATGGAAGGTCGAGTTGTACCAGAACTCTGCCATGGGAAGCCAGCGACGCCACTTGCGCGGCACGTCGTGCACCGTGCATCGGAGGTACATCTCCATGCACTGGTTGACGCGCTCGCTCTGCCCGTCCGTCTACGGGTGGTAGGCGGGGGAGTAGAGCAGTTTTGTGCCGGTGCCGGCGCCGGCGAGCAGCTCCCGCCAGAGGTTGCTGGTGAACACCTTGTCGCGGTCGGAGATGATCGATGTTGGAATGCCGTGGAGCTTGACCACATTGTCCCAGAATGCCCGCGCCACTTGCGTCGCGTGGAAGGGGTGGCGCAGGGGGATGAAGTGGCCAATTTGGTGAAGCGGTCCACCAAGACCATGATTGTGTCGAAACCCTCGGATGCTGGCAGTTCCTCCACGAAATCCATCGTGAGATCCTCCCATGGCGTTGTTGGAATTGGGAGGGGTGCCAGGAGTCCTGCCGGCTTGGAGTGCTCGTTCTTGGCCTGCTGCCAGGTCAAGCACTGCTGCACGAATTCCTAGACGTCGAGCTTGAGGCAGCGCCAGTCGAAGTGCTTGCGCACGCGCTGGTACGTCTGAAAGCACAAGTGCTCCCTGGGTGATTTTGGCAATTAATGTCAACATATCTCTTGTTGGACTAATACTTTTATCTAGTGTATTTCAGATAAGTCCAACAGTGGAGTGGAATGGAAAAGAAGATGTGGAACCCCTTGAAGATGCTTAGGACGAAAGATTGGCTCAAGCTCCGACGATATCATCCGTCCAGACTTTGTTCGAAGTAAGTTTTCTTTTCAAGTATCTGCATGTTGACTTACCCAGCAATATCAAATGAATTGTGTAGTATTTAAGCAACCAATTGTTATTCCCTTTTCTTACTATATTCCTACCTAATAACTTCTAGTTACCAATACACTTTTTTATTGCCCTGTTTTAACTAAATATTCCCTGTACTCCCACTTCTACAGAAAGCGCCGCTGACAAGGAGACTCCGGAGGTGGAGAACGGGGCTGCCAACAAGCGGAGGTGGGGCGAGCAAGAACCGCAAGTGACTCCAGCAGGACTAGACTTCATCAGCAGCCTCCCCGATGATATGTTGACATTCATCATCTCCCTCCTCCCAATCAAATATGGGGCACAGACAACCGTCCTTTCCCGGCGGTGGCACCCCCTATGGAACTCCACCCCTCTCGACCTCATCGACACCCATGAGCTCTGCCATGGCTACCAAAAAAGCTTGGATGCGTTCTCCAAGATCCTCGGCAGTCACCTTGGCCCAACCAGAGGCCTTAGAATGGGCAAGTTCCATTCCAACGGCAAGGACTGAGCCAAGCTTGATGACTGGTTCTGATCCCCCGCCCTAGATCAGCTCGAGGAGCTCACTTTTGATGATGGGCATATGCGCTCACTGCCAACGTCCGCGCTCCACCTCGCGCCCACGCTCCGCGTTGCCAAGTTCAGGAACTGCCATTCCCCTCCTCCCTTAATGACGCGCCCACTCTTATTCTACCACGATTGAAGCACCTCAAGCTCGTCGTCATCTGCCTCCCAAATGGTGACATGGAGCGCTTGCTCTGTGGCTGTACTGCGCTCGAGTACCTTCGTCTTCAGGCGATCAATGGGTTGAGTAGCTTCCACATCACCTCCATGACTCTCTCAACTATTTATGTGTGTTGCTGGTTCGGCAGGAAGACATCACAAGATGTGTACCATGGTATGGTCATTGAGGACACACCTGCACTCGAGAGATTACTTGTAGTTGATCAAGTAGGTCCAACAAGAATCAGTGTCATTTCTGTGCCGAAATTGACAGTGGTGGGCTACTCGTCTGACAAATACTTTGAATTTGTTATTGGATCCACACCCGTTCAGGTACAATAGCTGCCTTCTACCTCTCCTTCTCCAAATTAACATTATTTCTAATTTTTAAGATGCTTGTTCGTTTGTCATCCAGAAAATGATTCCGACAAGCTTGACCCCGAAACTGCGCACAGTGAAGGTCTTGCACTAGAATCTATCGGCCCCAACCTGGAGCAAGTTGTCAGTTTCCTGAGATGCTTTCCATGCCTGGAGAAGCTATATATCGAGGTGATGTTCCTTTCCTGTTAAATGTTAACAATAAGGGAGTTCAATTTGTGACACCTTTTTCCAAGTTTACAATGACAATGTAGTACGATTTCTGAAGGATTCTTTTGGAGGATTTCAGTACATACATGTCCCCCCCCCATATTGGTTGCTTGATCCATATGGTTACAATCCATAAGCATTTCTCCTTTGGATTCATATGTACTAGTTTTCTTAGGGAACTTTTCATCCACTCCAACCTCTTGTGAAGAAGGCTACATTTTTCTAGAATGTAATCAAATGCCCATGTTAATCATGTCAGATCGAAGATGGCATGTTAGTGCATTTTACAAATCTTGCAAACCAAATAGGCTTGTAGTAGTGTTCAAAACTGCATGTAGGCACTAAAGTGTTTTCTTCTTTTTCAGATAAGATTAGGCCCAATGGTGGATAATGTGATACAGTATAACAATCATGTCGAATGCCTAGATCTGCGTCTCTCAGAAATTACTTTAAACTCCTACCGAGGGACCTTACTGGAGATTATATTCGCCAGGTTCTTTGTTGTCAGAGCAAGGGTGCTGAAGGTAATGAGGTTTCCCCTACATTTATTTCACAAAAATGAACGGTTTATTGATCAGCGCCGGCGCCTGCGGTAGAATGGAAGGCTCCAAAAATGTTGAATTTCATTTTGGAACTTCAGATGACAGAGTAATCGGAAGTCATCGTGTCAACCCCATACATGACTTCTTAGTGGCTGACCCCTTTGCAAAAATTATGAGGTTTCGAAACCAGACTTAGAAGTGGTAATATTAGTTTGAACCTCTCTAATATCCATGTTCAGCAGATCAGCGCGAGCATTTGCAGCTGATGAGCTGAATTTCATTTCTAATATCAATTTAACCTTGTAATCTTCGAATTTGAGCCATATAACTCTGGAATTTGAACCTTGTAATATTTCAAGCTTTTGTGGTACAATCGTTGAAATGTCATCGTATGAGACTCGTATATTGGTAGCACTATTTTGACCTTAATATGCAATGGTCTTAGATTTTATTAACCATTATCAAATCTGTTTACCTTGTCGATCTCACAGCACACGATCTGTATAGCTAACTCGACTGCGATCTTCGACATTATTGCACACAGTTGGTTTCTTCCATCGTGTGCCCTGTAGAGCGTAGAATTAATTATCGCATTCGACTGTCCATCATCACCCTTCTGTGTAACTTTGACCTCATCACCCACGGGTAAACTTATGACCGAAGTCATTCCACACACTTTGTTTTTACAAAGCTTTTTGCCAATAAATGCCCATGATTTGTCCCTATTCTAGCCAACGCATGGCTGTAACATTCCAAATTTTCAATTTGGAATGTTATACACTAGATCATCATTGCATATCATATTTT